TTCATTGCGGGCGTACCCGCACGAAGCTCTTAAAGGGTGGAACAAAGCGACTGCTCGTTCCCAATTCGGAAAGACCTTCAGCCAAACGTGTCTGCGGAAATGAGAGAAGTCTGGAAGTTGCGACACTTCAGACGTGCCTTATCTGCCAATAAGCACTGAACGATGGAGTTGACGTAACACGATTTTCCGAGGTTTAGAATTGGCATAATCCCCAACCTGTCAGAAGGTGACATAAACACTCAAACCACATAAGGCTGACTGTTGTGGAGTCATCTGGTGAGTCGTCTTGGCATCAGTAAAAGGAAGAGAAGCAGTGGAATAAGGAAGAGAAGAAGTTTGAGCCTTCCTGTTGAAATCTTGTTGGTCAGTCTGTTTTAAGGCAGATTTCATCGTCTTGGTTCCAGTTGGCGCACTGAGGCTCGGAGTTACATTGGCCGTCGGAGCATTGGAAGACGGAGCATTGGAAGACGGAGCATTGGAAGACGGAGCATTGGAAGACGGAGCATTGAAAGGCGGAGCATTGAAAGGCGGAGCATTGAAAGGCGGAGCATTGGAAGACGGAGCATTGGAAGACGGAGCATTGGAAGACGGAGCATTGGAAGACGGAGCATTGGAAGACGGAGCATTGGAAGACGGAGCATTGGAAGGCGGAGCATTGGAAGGCGGAGCATTGGAAGGCGGAGCATTGGAAGGCGGAGCATTGGAAGGCGGAGCGTTGGAAGGCGGAGCCACAGGGGCCACCTGGGTTTGCGCTGAATACGAAATGATGAAATCAAACAGATATTTGGATCCTAGATACTTACGAGACGGTTTAGTTACCAACAAGAGCGGTAGTAAATCCTCAAAGGGGTTCTTGTGAGTCCTGCGCTTCCAAGTAATCCCGGAACGCTGGGGGCGTTTGTGTTTCTTTCTCTTTCTGAGTTTTCCCAGTCCATGTTTTCCACTCCCAAGTTTCCTGAGATCCTTAGATCCCCTCAGCTTTCGTCTGCTCGTCAATCTGTTCCTGTTTCTCCGTCTCTTTCGATCACCGAACGATTGAAGTGCCTCAACGTGATTCCCCAACTCAGAGGCATCTGCGCCTACAGAAGAAAAAATAAATGCACAAAAGTTGTCAAATGAACAACTCACGAAAGACCTCTGAAACAGAGAAAGGTAGCGCGATCGTCGCCGCTTCAAAAAAGAGCAACGTTTTAGAAAATCGAGATGTCCTTCCATGAGAAATCCGCCTTGCAACTTGAAAGCGGCGAAGGCGCATTATAAAGACAGGCAAACAGAAACATTAAGTGGCTCATCGGCCGTTGGGACAAAACGCACAATACCAACAATAGGAGCATGAGTTACAAGTTTTGACGTTTATCTGCCAGGGGGGTATTTTTTTTGGTGTATTCAACGAGACTTATCAATCGCGCATAGACATGCAGGAGATGGATTGGTAAGAAGGGGTTGGCCGGATCTTGATGGAGCCGTTCTTTCCACTGATACATCCCTAGTTTGAATAGACGAGCAAGGGAGAACACAACTACGATGCCCTTGCACTAGATGTAAAGCTTCTTTTGAACGAAACAGCCCTTCTGTGTTTTAGTTGTGATTCAGGATTATCTTCAAGGCTTAAATACTGCAGATTCACAGAACAGCAACAGAAACCCTCGAGACTCAATTGAAATCTATCTGAGGTCATGTTTTCTGACTCGTTGCACACAATCTTATCAATCAAATTCTATAAAAAACAAGATTTTAAATTCCAAGTTAATCTCTTTTACTAGAAACTTGTTCTAGCGATCTGTTAATTTCTGAATTCCCTGGCGCCATCTTTGATACTCGAAGTGTTCTCTTCTCGCGCAGATGTCGTCAATCAGGTCACACAACTTCTCATCAAGCCCTATAGACAAGAACCACGCATCAAAGTGTGTTCGGAGGACAGACGAGAGGTCGGTGAACTCAGGGCCATTGTAGCCGAACAGTTTCTCGTCTGCAGATTCAAAGTATCTGACACTTGCGATTGAGAATCGTCGTGAGCTTTCTGTGAAACAACTTGATGTCGTGCACCAAATTGTTATTCCTTTTGGAGTCCCCGTCGGCTGAATAGTAACGCTAAAATCTGTGGCAGGTGCGACACCAGCCACTTTTGAATTTTCTGATCCATTGAAAACTGACGGTCGAAATTCTACGATGATCGTCAACCTTCCGTCATTAATACACCTCTGCAATCTCATGCTCATGCTCATGTGCTGGAAGACAAACCTCCACCCATTCTTTTTTAAATACGGCAAATATTTATTTTGAACAGAAGTTTCAAATAATTCCTGCCATTCATCTTTTGGGATTTTCTTATTCTCCGAGATTTTTGTCACAAAAAAACGTTTCTGAAGACAATTGTTGCATGGCATCACTTTGAACTTCAACCAGCTGCATTGAAACTTCAGACCCTGTACCCGTTTCAACATGGTTGCTGACAGATTGTCACAGCTGAGTGACAAGGAGCCTCGAATTTTTAAACATATTCACGCACAGAAGGAATAAAAGTTGCAAAATCCATTGCAGTATTGACACCACACTGCTTGATTCCCTGAGTACAAACAGGGATCTGCATTTACCGGCGCACTTACTGTCCCAATTGGGAGTCCCGGTTGGAATGCGACTGGAGACTCAATCTTCGAACAATTGCAAACAATGTTTGAATTTTTCAGAAAACCTTCTTTCGGCCTTTTCATTTCATACAAGAAACTGTTCATTGGATTTTTGCTTATCGGAATCGGCTTTCATTTTTTCCGATCTCCAAAAATTCTTTCAACAGAAATTACTTTTCAATTTTTCTTAACTCAACTTCTTGCAAAAGGTCTTGTCGACAATCTTGAGATTGTCAATTGGGACATCGCTCGAGTGATTTTGAAAGAGAATACAGCTGATGGAGAGCCTCCATCAAGTTTTGTTTTCCGCATCGGACCTTTGGAACCATTTTATTCTCAACTGAACTCTTTCCAATCTTCTCTGGGACTTTATCAGCGTGATTTCATCCCAGTCAAGCACGTTATTGAAAAATCCTTTATTTCAACTTACTTTGCAGAGATTTGCATGATCGGATTTCACAGTATTCTATTTGTTGCTGTTAACGCAAAATCATTAGGCTTGAAGCGTGTCCGTCTTACAAGCACAAAAGATTCCAGCGCTAAAGTTAAGTTCGCGGATGTTGCAGGAATGACAGAAGCAAAACATGAGATTATGGAGTTTGTCCATTTCCTGAAGGATCCTCGAAAGTATCGCAGTCTCGGCGCCCAGATTCCAAGGGGTGCTTTACTCGTTGGACCCCCTGGAACAGGCAAGTCCCAAATATTGAACATCCTTCTTTTATTGTGTGTGGCATCTTAGGGAAAACATTACTTGCGAAGGCAACTGCTGGAGAGGCTGGAGTTCCATTTTTTTCTATCAGTGGATCAGAATTTGTGGAAGAGTTTGTTGGAGTTGGAGCATCTCGCGTCCGTGAATTATTTAAACAAGCAAAGAAGGAATCTCCATCCATCATTTTCATTGATGAAATCGATAGTGTGGGAAGAAAACGAACATCAAATAGGCAAAGAGGAGGAGGAAGCGATGAGCAGGAAAGCACATTGAATCAGCTTCTCGTTGAAATGGATGGTTTTGATGGTTGCGTTGGAGTTGTCGTTCTTGCTGGAACAAATCGATCAGATATCTTGGACCCAGCTTTAACGCGCCCGGGTCGGTTTGACCGAACAGTCACAATAGAACGTCCTGATTTGTCAGAACGAGCCGCAATTTTTGAAGTAAGAGAGATCATTCTGACGCCTCCATTTTTGATGTTTGCATCCCTTAGATTCATATGAAGCCCTTGAAGCTTGATTCTGCCCTTAACCCACGAGAGTCTTACAAGCGTCTGGCAGCACTGACACCAGGATTTGTCGGCGCGGATATTCGCAGCATTTGCAACGAGGCAGCGATCTATGCAGCTAGAAGAAGTAAGTTTTCAGTTTTTGGTTTTTTTTTTCTGATTTTGTATTTCGTCAGATGCCTGTGAGGTTTCCCTGCAAGATTTTGAAAATGCTTGTGAAAGGGTGATGGGCGGAGTCAAAAAAACAACAGGATTTTTAAACAATCATGTTCGCCGAATTATTGCTTACCATGAAGCTGGCCACGCAGTCGTCGGATGGTTTTTGCAGCACGCTGATCCTGTTTTGAAGGTTTCGATCATTCCACGAACAAACGGAGCTCTTGGATTTGCGCAAAATCTTCCAGAAGAAACTCAAATTCTCTCACGGGATCAGGTTTTGGACAGAATTGCCGTATTGCTTGGTACGATGAAGACAAACAGAACCAAGATTGATTTTTTTCTTTTCAGGAGGACGAATTTCAGAGGAACTGAATATTGGAGAAATGTCATCTGGCGCAAGTGATGATTTTCAGAAAGCAACTGGCTACGCATTTGCATCAATCAAGGAGTGGGGCTTCAGTTCCAAGGTAGGAAAAGCACAGATGCCTTCACTGGGAAATATCCATTTGCAGGTTGGCCTTTTGTCGTTTTCACCTCAAGAAGATGAACAGCTTTATAAACCCTTCTCCGAAAAATTAGCACAGGTTTGTGAAAAAGCGTCATATTTGGTTCACTCTGTTTTTTTTTAGCTGATGGAAGAAGAAGCTCGTGAGATCATTCAAGGCCAATATCATCGCGCTAAAAAACTCCTTCAAGAAAAAAGCCTGGTAGGTGATACTTTCACATCTGTGGACGTAAGCTTTTTTTGTTTAGGGTGTTCGCGGCGTCGCTGAGCGATTGCTACTCAAGGAGACAATCACCTTCTCTGATCTTGTAAGCGAGCTCGCTTGGTGCATCCCTCACTGTTGAATTTCAGGAAGAAATATTGGGAGAACGTCCACATCCTTTCAAAGAAGAATACGCTCAATACATCAGAGCATCTCCTGAAAAAACACGCCATTCTGCCGAACTGACGAATTTATAATTTTTTGATTAATTTTTTCGTATTTTCCATAGGTTTGTTCACGATAAAAAGTCCAGACTTGCATTAACATGTGTCCTACGTGTTTGAGGCTGATTCTCCAAGAGAAACTGAAGTCTCATAATGGCATTTTCATAGACAGCCATATTTGGTCTCCCACTCTTCGAGAGCGTCTCCTTCTCCTGTTGTAAGTGTTGAAGAGGGATGTACATTTTTGAGAGCGTAGAGAAAATCCGAATAGCAAATTGGTCGAAACGCTGAAACATCTGGAACATTTTCGATGCTTCCATGCGTTTCAATTGCCTCATTGTAAGGAAATTCAGCAGCGGCCGTGCAAAGCGCTTTCAAGTCGCTTCCATTCCAGTTCTTGGTTAAGTCGGCAATGCGGCGAATTTCATCAGTGGTTAACGGTAATGTTGAATCGGATGGGTGCGCTGTTCGATGATGTCTCGTCACGAGTCCAGTTATTTGTCCTTCTCTCGCTCTCTCATCAGGAAGTGGAATTAGTACTCTTTTTGATAGTCGTCGTAGCGCCGCTTCGTCAATCATATGTGGCCGATTTGTTGCGCACACCACCACAACCTACATCATTGTATCAGATGCAGCAATACTAGCTGAATGAGCTGTGGTTCTTACCATTGCTTTCTGATTGTTTCTCACACCATCCATCATTTGGAGTAGTTGATTTTTCATTCGTATTGAACCGTCATCATCTCGTTCCCGCCGCTTTGTTAACAATGAATCTGCCTCATCAATAAAAATGACAGCAGGACTGCAGGATTCCGCCACAAGAAACAAAGTACGGCTGAGTTGCTCGGTTTCTCCGTAATACTTGGAAATAAGGGAAGAAGGCGAGACATCGAAGAACGTTGCCCCACTTTCTGATGCCAACCATTTCGCGATCATCGTCTTCCCTGAGAAACATGAAACATAGTCTCGCAACATTAATTCTGAGAGTACCAGTTCCTGGAGGACCGAAAAGGAGGATTCCTCTGCGACCAACAAAATGCAAATAGGGCATTCTATATAACTGACTTCGGTGGTTCGTGCAATCCAAGGTGAAGATCTGGACGCTTTATAGGGTTGATAATCTTCTCTCTTATGATTTTTTTCACATTTTGAAGGCCTGCGATGTCGTGCTCCTCTATTCGGTCCTCTGAAAGTCTCTTCATTAGAACCGATCGGCTGAGGGCATCTCACCTGGACGCATTCGCATCGCCAATACTGCATTCACAATTTCAGGTTTACAGTTATCCCCAAGTTGCTGAGCGATCGCATCAAATTCGCTTGAGGGTGTTGCATCGGCATCTCTGGGAGCAGAGGAGAAATTGGGCTCTTCAGTTGTTTTCCTGATCTTCAGCATTCGTTCATCGGGGGATTTTTCATGCTGTTGCTGACGGAAGAGGGCCAAACCAGACTTAAACTGGTGAGGAGGTTCGGCATGATCCACTTTTTGCATCGTATTGACGTGGTAAGGTTTGAATACAGCACAAAGCGATTCCGGAAGCGGAACAGGAGCAAAATGGTTGCCAAGATCCAGATCAACTGAATCTGTAGTGAGAGCTGTAGTGCACTTCAGTAGCGATTCTATACGCTTTACACGGCTCTGATAAAAAATTCCATTCTGCGGTTCTTCCGAGAGAACCTGCTCCACAATGGATTTGTTCAGAAGTTCATCAAGGATTGCAGATGGGTTGTTCTCAAAAAAAAGACATTTTTGCTAACTTTCATAAATCATTCTTTTGCACCAAAAAATAGAAAAATTGCCAAGTGGAACTTTTGGAAAGCAACAGCGGCGGCCAGCGAATTGCGCACTGCTAATCAACGTGAAGCTGCTTTGTAGCTGTTGTTTTCGGCGATTGGCGTTTAAAGAATGCTTTTTTGATGGTTGGCCACAAGGCCACAACTCCCGCAACAATAATACTTATGATAATGCACCAGTAGAGCACGAAAAATCCCGACCAAGCACAGTAGCCGACAGGGATCAGCAAGTCCACCTGATCTGGAGTTTCTCCCGGTTCTTGAATTCGCTTTATCTGTGATAAAATGTGAGCTGCTTTGAATTCCTTTGAAAACTTACCAGATCACTTGGATGACTAATGTCACCATAGCATTCTTGAACTTTAGGAATGACGAATCGCAAGAAAGATTTGTCTGAACGAGGAGACGCACAAACAGGATTCAAAACCAATTTGTTTTCTCCCCACGTTTAGGTGAGCACTGACAGGCGTGCCACAAAACCATGTCGCAAGACCAAGCATCTGGAACCCCGGCATGGGTGTAATTGGTGCAAGTGGGGATCAGAAAAGCGCACCCCTGAAGGCGACAATCAACGGTAATTCTTATCAAAATCTTCTTACGCTTCCCCTCAGCTCGTTATTGTTGCTGCAAAACGCAGTTTCCCTTTGTTCTGGCGGCTTATCAGCCCACTGTATTCCTCTCATAATGCGCATAAGGTAAGTAAGCCACTCTTCATAGGACTCTTCAACAGATAGCTCTTCTTCCTGGTTCTCATGTGTGTTTTGTTTCAATGGAGTTAGGGACTCTTCCGTTTTTTTCCGCCGCTCTGATCTTTTCCGATTCGTCAAGCATCCGTTCGGCACTGGACTTCATCTTCCCCCTTCTCTCTCGTCCGCCGTTCGTCCGTATCTGACAGGCCCGTTTTCCAATCTTCACTCTCCTTAGGCTTCTCAATGTTCTTGCCGCCCACTTCTTTCGTGCCGCTTTCTGTGTTTCTTAGCTTGTCTGAAGCTTTTTGGCTACCTCGTTCTGCTCTTTCATCTATTCCTTCCTTCTTCGTTGGTTGTTTGGTAGACTCAGTCGTCATCTTTCTACTTCTCCGCTCTCTCGTAGCCATTCGTTATGCGGTAGAACTGCTTAACTGTTTGGAGGAGGCCCTAACCTCACTTTGTGGCGTCTGAGCTGGCCTGAATTTGCCTGGCAATGTTCAAGGTGCGCCATGACTCTTAGCACAATCAGACTTCCAAAGAGTCCGTAACCAAAAGATTGTCAGACGATGTCTACTAGTGTGAATCTGGGCTGAGCCAATGAGAACTATTTACGTGATGTTGAGTTAGCGCTTTAGATTGCTGATTAATCAAACCCTCTCAACCAAATTGAACGCAAGAGGCGGATGGCGATTCTTAGCGTGATGAGTTTTGTGTGCTCTCTTCATCAAGGAAAGAAATGCGGGTGCAGCTACGATGAGAAACATGCATCAGGCAGTGCAGAGGTGTCTTACGAATGGGCACAGGTTGAGTTTGCCCTGTAGGATTTTGTTCTGGATTTTGCGGGATATTTTGCGGAATGTTTTGCGGGATATTCTGCGGCGGCGGGATATTTTGCGGGATATTTTGTGGCATATTTTGTGGGATATTTTGCGGCATTGGCATATTTTGCGGGATATTTTGGGGAATGTTTTGGGGCATATTTTGCCCTTGGCCAACATTTTGTCCTGCAAGTTGTGATAGGGCAAGTGTCAGCGTGGAAGTTCCTACCCTGGGCTTCGACTCCATTGCCTTGTCCTAAGGGAGTTCCGGGGGGTGGTGCGCTCCCTAAAATCAGGGTCAAGCTTATATCCAAAAAACTATGAACTCAAGAAAGTTACCAGGGGCCTCAGTTGAAGCTTCCGGTCCAAATTTGATATGAGGCATCCAACCTACATTCGAGTTCTCAAGGTTCTTCATTTTCTCGTCCTACCTTTTACTGTATCAACGGCGCCCGGCGCTTTCGTTGTTTGCTCTGTTGTTTGTTCTGGTGACTGCCTTCTGAGACGGAATAGGTTGGCCAATGTTGAAAAAAATGTTGACGAGTTGGTCGACTTCTGCTGCGTTGAAATGTCTTGAGGAATTTTGACCGGATTTCCTTCCTGTGGGAACACTTCTTCGGTGAGACAAATTTGCTTGCTAAACTAACAGGATTTGTCATCTCGTAGCTTTCTTCAATCGGTTCCGTGTCTTCAAGGGAATGGGTGACGCGTCCCATGTCCAAATGGACTTTACCTGGTTCAAGGGCTTCTGCGGGAACACCGTAACGATCAGATCCAATTTGTAGCACTGAAGGAAATGTGAATAAGACACACGGGAGCTCCGTTTGACACGCACGCGAGCCAAGTACATTGCGAAGGATGTCTCGCGGAACTTCTTCTTTCGTTCCTCCTATCCACATTCGGAGAGTGGTTGGAGCGAGTTTAACGGTCTTCATTCTCTGATATCCTTTGGTCCCTTCGAGGAAACAAATCGTGGAGGTAGGGGGGTACTTCATGACGCACCGGCTGGGTAGACCCATCCGTACGGTGGTTCGTCAACCTTGTGGAAATTTTGGGGGTTTTCAGTTGCTTTTCCCTGTTGTTCAGCCCAGCCAACTTACTTCGACTTCATTGCTCAGATCCTTATCGAAGAGCCCTTCAACCGGCCCCACAGACGGGCGTATAGGAGCCTCCCGACACTCAATTTTCACAGCAGCACTTCTAAGTTGTTCTTCAGGCGTCCCTCGTTCCCGATCAATTTGTTCTTGTTTTTGAATTTCTTGTTCCTGGAGGGATATCGAACTAGAAACATACACTCCTCGGAAATTCTAACAGTTCGAGCTTCTTCTACACGACTCGGACGGAAATCCAGCTACAAGCGCATGACGGTGTTAAAACGGAAAGCCCTATAGCACTCACGGCTCCATCTGGAAGGGCGACGGAAGAAAGCACTGCGACACAATAGTTGGGGACTAGTTTGCGCATGTTTTGGTTACTTTCTAGTTCGCGAAGAGTCTGAACGGGAACCGCTAGGACCATCGGCGTGTCGTCGGCATAAACAGTAGAAAAATGGCAGCAGTAAAATAGGAAAACAGCGAGAGCCACGGAGAGCGGAAATCTGCGCTTCATTTTAGGCTTCAGAAGGGCGTCCTTTGGATGAATTCTGTTCTTTTGATTCGTGCAAAAAAGGAAAGAGCCGCAGACATATTTTGGTCACAGCTTCTTCTTCTAGTTCTTCGAGAAAACAACAAAAAATATAATTGCTTCATTTGTTGTGAAAAGATGCAGCGCCTTGGGTGCGGGTCTCCTTCGGGCCAGATCGCTGAAAATGGATCTGCGCTTTTTTGTAACTTCGTCAATTTCAAACAAGAATCATTTTCCATTCAAACTGCTTTTTTATTCTTTCAACGGAAATGAAATTCCTTGCTTTTTGCGCTATTTTGGTGGCTTCTGCTGTTGCGCAGCAACCAGGTCAGCTGAAATTAGTGTGCTGAAGCGACGCATTACCCCTTTCCGAAAACCAGGGTTCATTGTTCAAGAGCAAAGTGCTATCAATCCTCTCGACACAGGGCTTGACTTGTACAGCCACGAAATTGAGGAAGAACGGGGTCTTCAAAACTTCCGCAATGTTTGCTGTAGCGACTGTTTCCGTTACACCGGCCAACGACGCCTGAATTGCTACAACTTCTGTCAAAGGCAGTGCTTCTCTCAACGACAGTGCATAAATGCCGGCAGAGGTAGGAGAACCTTCCCCCATCACCGAAACTCGGACATCCATTTGCAGGAGTCTACGCTGGGTTCTGCCAACAGCATTGTCCCCGAGTGGGCTTTGCAGCTGCCGTGGCACGCCCTCTCACCCCGCGACAATGCCAGGGTAGGAGTTCATCAGTGTCCGCTATTTCTGATTGTTTTTTGTTACAGGTGCATGCAGCGCCCAAGTGCAAACTCTTTGCAACAACCGGTGTAACGATATTGTTGCCGGATGCAACATTGATGTCGGCTTTTGTCTTTCAACAGCCTCTGCAAATTGCCGCATCTCTTAAACTTGACGCATACTGCTTATTGCTGGGCATACGCATATGACCTGTTTGCGAATTTTTCAACACACCAGCTGCTGTCGTGCATTCATAGATAAAAAGGAGAGAAATTATTACTGAAGAAATGAACCATTCCGAAGAACCAGGTGGCACACAAAATATTGGCTTAGTCTTATTTGAAGGCCTCTTTTTTCAGTGAGTGTCACTCCCCGCCAGTAGTTGCCCTAACTCATAGCTCTTACAAGGTAAGGATCAATCGAGAGGTTGAGCAGAAAAAGAAGAGATGCAGCCGTGCGTTTCATTTTTTACACCGCATTGGGAATCACCTTACATTTACGCGATTCTGGGCTTACATATCGATTGATGTTTGTGGAGACCGACCACTTTTTGCCGATTTTTCCACGTTTTTCATTTCGTTTCGACGGATGTTTGGTTTTGGCCACTTATGCTTCAATCCGCCATCTTCGTCTCTTGAAGCTAGAAAATACGACGAACCACACCCTTTTTATCAAACCACGTGGGAGGAAGTTCCTCAGCCTGGAGTTCAGCCAGCTGAAGAACGTTGCTCGTTCTACTTAGGATTGGAAAGGCTGTCCGCTGAATCTCTGAGGGAAGCGCGGTTTCCTACTTTCCAACCTGTTGGACCAGATTACATTCAAACCGCAGATGCGGTGCAGGGATGGTCTTATCCATCTCAATGGCCCGTTCCATATGACCAGTCTGCAGGATGGCCCAATCTGCTTCCTCAGCCGTTCCCTTGGCCGTATGATCTCGGTGCCCTTTCGCCAGCAATGGCAACTCTCGCCTACGCTCCTGAGTATCACGGACCATATGGGCCAGTCGCCTACGGCCCGATAGGCTCCATGGGTGGAGTCTTGGCGGACGAAAGCAGAACCGAAGAAAAAAAACCAGAAGAAAGAAAAGTGTCAACCGACGTCTCAGACGAAAAAATAAAAGAGAAAGGCAAAGTCAGCTGGAAACCCCGTGAAGATGGTCGTGTCTCGCCCAGGGAAGAAGGGTCAGCACGAGGGGAAGAAGGGCAAGCACGACGGGAAGAAGGGTCAGCACGACGGCAAGAAGGGTCAGCACGACGGCAAGAAGGGTCAGCACGACGGCAAGAAGGGTCAGCACGACGGCAAGAAGATAAAAGGGAGAGGCGAGGTCAAGAAATGGAAAGAGAACGGGTCCGGCGTAAGAAGGTTGAGGTTTTTACACCGACACCAAGAAAAACCGATACACGGCCAAAACCAGTCGAGAGAGCTGCCCGACGAAGACCTCGATTGCCTGAACAGATGCAAACTGAGCGTCACGTATCGATCAAAGCAAGAGCGCGACCAGGAACTGTTGGTGCGGCACGATGGAAAACAGTGTCAGAAGTAGAACATGAAGAAGTGAAACGATTTCGGGGGAGAAGAAGGAGAATGCTTGATGAATTTGAATCAAGAATGTATTACCATTATGAATTGCCAACTGTTTGTAAACTGATTCACGCTAAAATTCCAGAATTATTTCTGCCTCCTTGCCTTTCAACGACACCAGTTTATGAGTTTGCGATGTCAGAAGCTTAAATTAGAGCCTTTGCTTTTACCAAGTTCATATCTCTTTTATTTTTAAACTCGGCGTTGAAATTAGTTTGGATTTTCGTAGCTCATTCTGTTTTCAGATTTTCAAACGCGTTGAGTCTCAAAGAGGTTCCTCAAGGGTCATCACGCGTGGAAACAAAGCAAGTAAGAATATTCTACTAAAAACAAAGAACACCTACAAAAGAGAAAAGATGGCGAGATATTAACCGTCCGCTTTGATGAGTGCGCCAATTGAGTCTAAACCATGAATTAGATCATTCTCAGTTGGAGTTCTTCCAGAATCGAGTCCTGAAAAAACCAGTTGATTTCCAAGAAATATTTCGAATGCAGAAGAGCTCGTCAGGAACCCTTTGATTAAATTGCCGAGAAAAAACGTGACGGCAAGGAGTTGCCAGCGATTCTCATTCATCTGCTGAACAAGGCGAGGAGGGGAGGAAGCGCTAGAAGCACGAAAAAGGAAACTGCTCTCTCATAGGCAACTAAAGGAGATACAAGACAGACAATAATAAAGCTCCACTGAAGTGCCGATAACGTGTTCGCGATGAAGAGATATAGAGGAGCAGGCTCAGCGGCTAGCGGCTGGATAGAAATGGGGAGAATCTACCCTCCTCAACGAGCTGTAGTAAGCGCTTTTGTGTGAAACGTCGTGCCTTAGCTTCTCCAACAGGTTGTCCTGTTGCACACATTCGTTTGAATTCATCATTTGTAATTGGGGAGTCTTCAGCTTCAAAATTGATGAAGTCTTCAGCTTCAAAATTGATGAAGTCTTCAGCTTCAAAATTGATGAAGTCTTCATCAATAACAGCAGCGTGCGTGTGGACCCACCGCACCTGAAAGAGCGAAAAAAGAAGAGAGTGGGGAATGCGCTGATTAGTTGTCCCAATCCACGCTTACCACTTGCTGATACAGACCGTTTGAATGTCCTGATGAGAAGACAGTGAATTCAACTGCGATAACAACTACTTACAGCTTTGGTCATTTCGTTTGAAGCTTTGTTGATCGGTTGATATCTCGGAGGGGACAAAAGATGAGACGAGAATTCAGATAGTGATGGAGGAAATGAAAGAAGCTTCAATTCATCGAGCATCTTCCAAGAAAGCAACACGCAGAGAACCCCAACAATGAGGCACCTCTGCGCATCAAACGAAGCCATCAAATCAATATTCTGATTTCATAAGGAATCAGGCACACAGAGTATTATTCAATGGCTGCAAACACAACATCTCCAAAATTGATTGTTGATCAAACATCGTCATTAGCAGATGAGCGCATTCATATTTGCGCTCAGTGTTTGCAACCCTTTCAATGCTACACACTTTTATTATCAATCATAGATGAAAAATCAACTCTATTTAAATCTTTAGCGTTCTATCTCGCAGACGCTGATGGAAAAATCGATCTTGCCAGAGACGCTGCAATCGAATCGCCATCTGGTTCCTATCGCGGTGTTTTCTCCGAGGGCTTGTTTTCGACACTCAAACCTCTTATTCCTTATGAACGCCTCGTGCGTCGAGATGTCACGCACCCTCTTCGGTTCGTTCTGTCGCTATGGAACGGTTCAACTGCTTCCACAATTTCTGATCAATATCTCCGTCAATTCACGTCGGTTGTCACATCACAACACCTTATCGATACATCGCTCGATTTCGTGACTTCACTGAATGTTGGGTTATCGGAATCACTGAATGTTGGGTTATCGGAATCACTGAAACCCTTAGCGGTTCAATCCATTGATCGTCATTTCATGAAGGACGGTGTTCGCCGTGTTGTTGTCAAAGAGGGCAAACTGCGTGGCACGGTTTTCATTCCAGCAGGTGATCACCAGCCCCATAATGGCATCAATTTCTATAAACGTTTCAGGCAATGGGCCCTTTCCCGGAGTTCTCGATATTTCTGGCGCTGCTGGTGGTCTTGTTGAGTATCGATCCGCTTTACTCGCTAGTAGAGGGATCTTAGCGATGTCCCTCGCGTATATCCGTTATGATGATTTACCGAAATCAATGAAACATTTAGAAATCGAATATCTCGAAGAAGCAGCAGAATGGCTGTTTCAACATCCAAAGGTAAACAGCTTCTCAACTGACTTCCGTTGATTGTCGTTCTTCGATACACCGAGATTTTGGGGCTCTTGTTTGCGACAATTTGTGTTCCTTAGGTGAATCCCGTTTCAGGGGGCGTCGGACTGATTGGCTCCTCGAAGGGCGGGGAATTTGGGATTGCAGCCGCTTGTTATTCCCGCCGTATTACTGCGTTGTGCACAGTCAACGGAAATATCATGTCGATTGGATCACGGACAACACGTCAATTAAGTGACGTGAAATACCGAACAGAGTACGGAATGGTCACGCCGTCTGGGGTGCAGTATCCACCTGCACCGTTAGATGTTGGAAAGGCAGTTCTATACGACGATGATGCTATCAATGTGAGAGATTCTGTTGCGTTTCCGGTCGTTCCTGAACTTCGAAATATGTATTCGAAGTTTCGAAAACCGTTTATTCGTGAAGGACGTCAAATTGTCTCTGGAGACAAGGACGATTTTGGTACAGCGACACAAGAGGAAGAAACCAACAGTGGCGGATTTTTCAAATTTGGAGAAACAGACTTCGAAACTATCAAACAATCGATGTATCCGATAGAACAAGTTCACGCAGACTGGTGTTTGTTTATCGCCGGAGAGTCCGATCAAAACTGGCATTCCCCCGTCTACGCACTGGAAGCTGTTCGAAGGCTTGAAGCCGTTGGGAAGAAACGTAGGTTGAGAGATGCTGCTTGTTCTGATCTATGCTGCTTCTAGACGTCCGTGCGCTGATTTATCCGAAAACAGGACATTACATTGACCCTCCATGTGCGCCATTCGAGGAAGCATCATTTCACCCACTGGCACAGTCTGTTGTTGTTTGGGGAGGAGAGAGCTTTTCTCATCAAGCAGCTCAGGAAGATGCTTGGATGCAGACGCAGTTATTTTTCAAGAAAGCGCTAACATCACCACCAGATCCACTTTCGTCGAAGTTGTAAACTGTTCCACACTTGATTTCGAATGTATTGATTGGTGTCAGTTGAGGGGCATTTGATATTGGTGTAATTGCAGAATGCATGATTACTACACGGAATCAAAAAAAAAGATGCCTCGGGCCAAAAAATGACTGCTACTGCAAAAAATAATAGTGGCAACGGCAATGCAGGAGACGCCGGTAGAAAACTGTAGGGGCAAACAAACACAGTTCTCATTTCGGTGCAGATAAATTTGGAAAAAATGAAAGTAATAATCCTGTTTTGGTTGCTTGCATTATCGTGGGCATCTGAGGAGGGGCCAGAACAAGGAAGCGCAACTGCGGCGCCTTCCTTCTCGCCGGCTCTTCGCGGTTATCCTGATTTATTGCGCTTCGTTGAAAACATGCTAGACAGTCCATTTTCGCTATTCCTTCATCCCCAGCCATCTGTTGCAACGATCCCACGGGTTGATATCGGCATTCGAGCGTCACTTAATGTCCCAACATGCCGTTTAACATTTGACCTGTCAAATCTTCATGAGAGATCGAATGTTCGTGTTGACGTCGTTGGACAGAGCGTGTATGTCAGCACGAATTACACATTTGCTGCTGGTAGAGATGAATTCGATTTTGAGGCCGCCGAACAAACCAGTTCAACGCACCTGGTGAGTTGATTTAACGACAATCAATCCAACTACAGATGTTTTAGATACCACGGACGTGTCTCGTGAACCCAAATGCAGCAGCGGTTGAATTCAACAAAACAACAAAAATTCTAATTATTTCTTTTCCACTAGCTCCGATTCTTCCTTCCACTGAGGCTCCTGTTGATGTTAAAGACTCTGTTGCTACAACGATTTTTCAAATGCAAGAATTCGGACAAAGAAAACCTCCAATTTTTGTTTCAGCTTCTCTTTAATGACCTCAACAAGAAGACACCTTTCTTAACTTGTTTTCTCTTCACACTCACAAGATTGGACCGTAGGTGACAGGGAACATGAACAGATAAAAAATCCACCACTTGAGAGTTCACTTAATCAATCATCAGTCAAGTTGCGATGCTTGCTGCGATGTGTGCTGCGATCAACCGATGGAACTTTTTGATAACTTCTGGCGTGCTCTCTGGAAAGATAGGCTGAAGCAAGATCAGAGAGCTTTAGTGCTGTACTCGGTGTTGCTTCAAGCACAAAATGCTCGTCTGTTTTCGCCGGTATCTCCAAGAGGTGTCGCTGCTTTTCGGAATAAGATTGGGGGTTCAAATCAGAAGATTTCGTGTTCTTCTGTTTGATGATTTTCGAGGGATTGACTTCAATTGAAGGAAGGCTTGAGATGGGTGCTTGACTTTTTGCAACTTCCCTAAGGTCCTGGAAACAAACAGGGTAAAAGAATTGACCAAACATCAAGCCGAACCTCAACGGAAGCCATCAACGCCGTATCTGGAGCAAGTTGCATCAAGTAACTTCGCGAAGCAATTTTAAGTTTGCGCGTCTTTATTCTGATGAAAGTCAAACTAGAGGAGCAACAAACTTTCAAATTACTTACAATAAGGATGCATTGGTACAAACTTTACCGAAATTTCTTTCTAGGGATGCGACTTTGAGAACACCGAGTTTTTTCAATTCAAAAAATGAATCTAGAAAATTCTGCAAAAAAAACCGCGATGACTTCACGATTGAGACAGAATTGTTTTATTCAGAATCATAATTGAAGGAAGCAGAATTGGCATACTTCATTAACAATACGAGTGAATGAATCCATGTCTTTCTGTCCATCATTTTCAAAACATCCTTTGCCTAGAAGAAGGTCTCTGATCAACTTAACGTAAGAGGCATGTCATTGTCTGCAACTCACTTTGTTTGAATCAGTTCGATGATTGAACACATTCGCCCACACCTTGAATGTCAGCGATACTTCATCAATTGGTACATTTGTCTGCCTGTCACAAACTGTCAGACTTTTCCTGAAGTCAACTCACTCTAAACGTTGCCAAGAGTGTTGAAATTTGACCCCAATCCCCTTGAGCCATATAACGTCTCATGTGGCGGAACGAATGTGCTCGAAAACTGCGAACATTCTTGAATTTGCAGGGCGGGTTTGGTTCTTCCATTGATTCGCTATGAGAACTTTCTGTGGACATCATCGGGGACATGTTTGGTGATTGGGACAAAGAATCTCCATTTGGATTTTTCGACCTTAACAATTTTTCATTCTGTAAAACGTCTTTCAGAGCAGCTGCTTTTATTTGTTGTCGTTTGAATATTGCATTTGCATACAACCGTTTGCAATGATAAAGCATCGATGCAACAGACCTGGTAGATGCTGATGGTGAATCTGTGCCAAAATCGAGAAGAATATCTCAACCCCGCAGTCTTGTTTCGCAGTTGGTCGCCTCTTCATCCAACGACGCATTCGTTCAATTTCCCCGCTTCGACGTTCCAGCAGTCCTGATTGTGTGCTGATGTCTTTCTAGATATTTGCCAATCTGTCCGATCCAATTCAATTTTCTCATCTCAAGAATTTCAACGATCAAAATGTTCAATACAACAGATTTGGAGTCTTTGCTTGACACTTCTCGTCCTTTCGATGAGCCAAAAGTCCGTCTTTTGGAGCAGTTGGTGGAACAGATGTTATCGGGACAACCCCCCGCGGTAAGGAATGAATACGTTGCAACCAGGCGCAATGGCAAGCGAATCCTGATCTCTTCTTTGAATAAAGAATTATAAGTTAAATTTGTTATAGAGGGACATTGCGCACCGTGTTCTTAGTCAATTGAAAGCTAATCCAGAAGCTTGGCGGGTTGTAGGAACAATTCTTCAAGTTTCAAAAGAATCAAATACTCGTTTTACGCGTTATCAATTCTTGAAACGTGCATCACAACGCGTTGGAATGTTCTTCCAGAAGAGCAAAAGGCTGGAGTGAAGCAAGTGAGACCGTGCTGTTCACTGTAATCCATTGACTTCAACTTTTCTGTTTTCGTTCTCCAGTATGTCACCGACATGGCAATTGTTGCATGTACAGACAGTTCATTGGGCGAGGCGAAAGTATTTCATCACAAAAGTTAACGAAACCCTTATTCAGGTGCTAAGATGCAATCATTGCCTGATTGTTCATTCTTCCTTTATTGCTCTTATTCTTCCATTTTTATTATTTTGTTCAGATCGTCAAGCATGAATGGCCGCACAATTGGCCCTCTTTCATTCCAGATTTATGTGCAGCAGCGCGTACAAATCAAGCAATTTGTGAAAATTCCATGCGAATTTTAAGCTTATTATCCGAAGAAGTGTTTGATTTTGGACGTGATTATATGACATCACAAAAAGTTCAAGTTCTCATGTCGTCATTAAATCAACAATTTCAGCAAATCTTTGATCTTTGTACGTTTATCATTTCCAATTCAGGTCGCCTCTGGGACAACAGTATCTCCGACATTACTGACTGCGACGCTTCAATGTCTTTCCCACTTCGTTAAATGGATTCCCGTATACGTACCTCTTCGAGACCAAGCTGATCGACATGCTTTTGCAATACTTTTGGGATCCTACACTCCATCGAGTGGACTGCGTGAGGTAGGATCCACTTAGGATCATCAATTTATATATATACACTCTCGCTCTTTCAAGATGTCTTACGGAAATCGCATCTCTTCGGGATATTCCCCCCGAGGGACGCCTCAAGTTGAGAACGTCGTTATGGATCCCTATCGTTCAGAAATTGTCCCTTTTATCAGAAGTGACAATGGACTTTGATACTCGGTGCCCTCAAAACTCCAAGGTATGAGAAAATCCAGAAAAACTTGATGAATGAATGTGGGAAGCTACCTGATTCGAGTGATTCTTCTGATTGATTGCTCTTCTGTTCCCTCAGGGTTTTTTGGGAGACTTTTTATTGTCAGCTAGCAATTTGTTTGACGACTTTGCTGAAAAATCACCGGTATTGATGTCTGTGAACCAGCCGATGAAAATGATAACGGGCAGTCTGTTTTTTTCACACTTAGAATATTGGTAAGATTTAATTGAATGTTTATGAAATGAACTTAGTTAAGAAATGGAAGAATTCAATTTCAATTATTTCTCTTCATTTTTTAGGTGAAAATGACGTCGAGAATCGGTCACGAAGAAACGTTTAAAATTTTGGTTGATTATTGGCACAATTTATCGGAGGAATTACTGACGGGAGTGTTCGTTAGCTCTCATCGAGCAGCTTCTACATTCACAGCATCTTCTCCGTTAATGCTTGAGGGTGAGAAAATTTTAATATATCAGGGGGGATCCAATTTATTTAATATTCAGAAATCCCTGCGATGACTGAAATCGATCCAATTGAAGCTCCACAGATGTACTCAGAACGATTGCGAACTTATCAACAGATTTTGACGATGTGCGAAAAGCTCTCATATTGAAAATGGCGAGACCACAGGAGGTTTGTATTCACTATGACGAAGACACTGGAACTGTTGATAGGGATTATGAGACTGATACAGGTTGGTCATTAATGCAAGTATGAAAGCATCGTTATTGTCTTATTTAGATGAAGTTGCTCTTTACAATTTAATGAGGGAGACACTCGTCTATCTGACGAATCTTGGAGGAGAAGAGACGCAAGCTGTGATGGTAGAATTGCTACGGACATTTACAGAAGAATGCAAAAAATCCAAATCAACGGAATTGGAATCCAACAGTTCTTTGTCGACTCTGTTGGGCCATCGGTACGTTTTTTGTTACACGCCGATTCTAGTCATGATCATTTGTTATTAGGGTCTATTAGTGGTGCAATGTCATGCGAAAGAGAGAAAGGGTTTTTGGTTCACGTTATTAGAGAACTCCTTTGGCTCTGCGAGCATAAGAG